TTTTCCTTGTGAGCCTGTTTTCAAAAAGGATTTTGGCCTTGAAAATGTTTTAAAGAAAGGGATTGGTTTGTGAAAGAAAACGTTTTGAAAACCATGGCTTGTTTAGTCATGGAACGTCATGGCTTGTCCAGTCATGGGGCCCACGGCTTGAGTAGTTCGTGGGGTCGTATTAACGATTTCAAAATATTATGAATGATTTCTTAATAAAGAGATCTTGTGAACTGGTAATAGAGTATATTGCTGTAAGCCTAGATAGGATGCGGAGAGTGCATCCTCAGGGTGCAGAACCCGAAACTTGGTCCGGGTAGGCGAGGCACTTGGTTAGGTAAGTAATTTGTACTAATTACTTGCTGAAGCCTGTAAAACGGTTATTTACAGTTATATTTCCTTTGAGAGAAAGGATGTGAGGTTCCGGCTGTTCTGTCGGGACTGAATGTCTTATTTTATTTACTTATACATTTATTATTCATTTATTTATAACGTTTATTTCAAATTATATCCTACTGGGCCTTTCGCTCACGTTTTATATTTCAAATGTATTAAACCCCTCCCAGGAGATTCTAGGAGCGGTGCGCAGTAGCTGGATAAGTGCTACGGAGCAGCTGAGTTGTGCTGCTATTGGAATCAAGTGAGGATTGCGGACATCCTCTTGAATAAATGTAAGAGATTTGAGAATTTTGTTAACTTATGTAATATTTGGGTTTACTAGACTGTGGTTGATATCTGTTGTAATGATTATTTACATGTTTATGTATGTACGATACTGTATGTCCTGTGGGGTGGAGCCCTGTGTGTCAGAGGCTCCGGAATTCTATAATTTAATCATATTTTAATGCAGTTAAGTGTGGGGCCTGGTTGGGAATCTGTTTTATTAATCCCAAATCGAGCTCCACGTCACCCACCCCGTTTGGGGGGCGTGAGAGGCGGTGCCTGGGTGGCGTTCACTTGGGCTCGGTTGCTCTTGCTGGGTCTCCTCAAGCTCGTTTCTAGGTTCCTGGGACCCTAGCATGAGTTTCCTTTTTCTTTGTGTGGGGTTCCAGATTCTGATCTGAACTTGCATCCATTTCTTCTTGATTCTTGTTTCTGGCCTCTTGACCACTAGGTACTAATTCGACCCTTTCTATATTTATTTCCAGAGCATGTTGCCCAAACAGGTTAGAGGTCAAGAGGCATTCACTTCTAGGGTTAGGGATGACCTTGAGGATGCCGCATCGACGAGTACATCTTCAGGTGACAACGGGGACTCTCTGCTTCGCTAGGTAGACGAGTACGCCGAGGGGTCTGTCTCGACCTCTCAGCCGGACGAAGTGATTCTCCTTGATGATGAGGACGACAGCCTAAGGGTCGGCCCTGCTGAGGGGCGTGGTTATGGGGTGGCGTCGACCAATGGCATCTCGGGGATGGTGACAGACGTCAACCTATCGAAGATCAAGCCCCGGGTTGCCATGAGGGCGTTCAACGACGCGGGGATCGACGCCAATAATTTTTATCTGATTATCCCAACCCCCAACGATAAGGCTCACAACCCCCCTGCCAATCACATGACCATATACACGTGCTCCCTTAGCTTTGGGCAGACTCTACATTTTCTTCCTTTTGTGAAGGCCCTTTGTGGCCTTCACAGGATTTCCCCTGCACAACGGTCGTCCAATTGTTGGGTGACAATAAACTCCATGATCATTTTGTGGAGAAAATTCTTAAACCTTGACATAACCGTCGAGGAATTTTTGTACTGTTATGCCCTTAGGGGTTCCCCCGGTCAGAGGGGATTTTTCTACCTAGGCACCCACTCTAAATCCAAACCTCCAGTCCCGCCTGTCATGGTCGAGAAGACTTCTAGTTGCCATGGGTGGAAGCCCCAGCTCTTTTTCCTAGGTCCGCTGCACGTCTCGGTCGCGTCGAGCATTCAGCCGCTCCCTTAGGTCTCCTCCGCGCACAGACGAAGACTCTATTGGGATCGCGTTCCTCCGGTTCACGTTCTCCTGCGGTCGAAGAGGTACCTCTTGGTCATTTGTTTTTTGGGCCGCGGCCCTCTCCTGGGCTCTCCTCCTGGCAGCTCGTTGCCTGCTCCCCACAGATCTGTTCGGCTTGGCTGGGCGGGGGTTGTTGGCCCCACTATCACCGACCCCCTCGGCGTCACCACATCGGTCACCAATTACTTGGTTCCCAGCGGCGGCGTTCATCGGCGCATCCTCTAATGGTGGCATCGAATCTGGCCTTTATTCCCGTCCGGCGAGGGCTGTGGCTATCCTTTCTACGGCCACAACAAGTGTTTCGACCTGCCTTTGGAGCTGCTCAAGGCGGTCTGGGGGGTTTCCAGCGGCTTGTGGTTGCGCCTTATGGGGCCGTACCCCCACTAGTTCCTAGCCGCCGTTGGGCGGATTCGTCGGATTCCTTCCTCCGAGTGCCGAATTCTGGCCCTCTTGGCTTTTCTAAGTTACCATCATGCTGCGGGTCTTTCTCGGAGACATACTCACTACTTACTGTTGGATTGATTTCTTGGGTTCCTGGCCCTCCTTCTAGCGCCAATTGTTGACGGTGATTTTTTGTCAACTAAGGATTAACTCTCCGAGAACACTCACAGTAACCTCTCACGGATTGATTAAGGATTAATGCTGGAGATTAATATAGAGAAGACAAGAATTTATAGTGTTTCAGTAAGATTTCTTGGCCTAGTCCACTTGTGGATGCACTAATACTCTGTTGATTACAATTTCTCCGGGATAGTTGAATAGTGTGTAAAAAACTTAATGAATTCGCACGGCTCTATTTATAGGCCTTGTACACATGAGAGACTCCATCTGCATTTCCCGAGTAGATCATCCTCTATCTCTTAATTCTGGGATTTGACAGTTGTATTTTCATGATTACAGCTTCCCAGTAAGGCGAACCACTCTTACCAGCTACCTGATTTCCTGACTTCGACAGTAGTAGTTGATACAGTATATCTTTCTTTAAGTTGACAGGACTATCTTTGGATTGGATTGAGCCACTTCCTCGACGTCGTAGCCTTTGTCACCTCATCGGGGCTCTCGATCCGCGTCGTCCCGCATGAACTCTCGACGTATGAAGGGCACCTTAGCTACAGTTGATCCCTCAACGCCAGTGACTGATTCTCGACATAGAGGTCTCGGCGCTTGTCGTCCAAAGGAGTGGTCAATTCCTCGACCGTGGTGTAACATTTTTTTTTTTATAAAAAATCATGTAAATTAAAAGTGATTCTGAAATCCGTTTTAGCAATCTCTTTGCACGGATAAAAATGATCTGTGATGGTTAGCCTTTAAGGAGTATGTAGACTATTTGGCAGAAAGCAATGCAGTTGAAGAGCTAAAAGAGTGAGACCTGTGACCATGCAAGCATGCACCCTAAATTCGGTGTAGATAACGTATTTTTTAGTCCATCTAACGGTCCAAAATAAGTGAACTCGCCATTAATCTAATGTGCCCATCCACACTAAATTTAAAACCAAAAAAAAAAAAAAAAAAACCTTTCAACAGATCTTAAAACGGGGGTCGCCGGAGCGAGGGCACTAAGATTTAAAGGCTCCGATCGGCGACCCCAAATCACGACAGCGGTGGAATCCCACCATGGGTAGCGACTTGTGACCTGCGATTTCGTCGCGACCCATCGCGGCCTCCTCGCGACCATCGCGAATGAGGTCGCCATTCCGCTGCTGTGACGGCCATTGCAAGCCACGGAGGCGGAGGGGCCGGGACGGAGATCGCGATTTCATTCCGACCCATTGTGATTGAGATTGCAAGCCACAGAGCGGAGGGGCGGCGTGTGGTTCGTCGGTGGAGGAGTTTTTTTTTTTTCATTTTTCTAATCATTAATTAAATTAGAAAAGATTATTATTTAATGTGGTTGTGTTTACTTTTGTTTTCATGATACCGCGATCTGGAACTATTTAATTTCAATCTCTAACGGTTCAAAGAAAAGGGAGGATCAATATAGCCGTACCGAATGGTACCATAGTCATACCCTATTTTTATTTATAATTATGATACCATATTTTTACTTGAATTTTTTTTTTGCTCCGACCATATTTTTACTTGAATACAATGTCTTGGACTGATTTTACTCTACATTATGAACATATATGTTTTAATTGCAAATAAAAAATAAAAAAAACTATTAAAGTATAGTTGAATATATGCATATTCGTAGCCCCATATTTAGGACTACCAATTGACAAGCTATCTAACACACACAAGCTCCCTCCAATAAAACAAGAAAACTTATCCAAAACAAAAACAAAAACAAACACATGGACCTAAGAATATTAGCCTTGCAATAGTTTCCCGGAAATTTGGGAACCCAAAAGAAGAAGGCAAAACCAAAAAGAGGAGAGCCTGAACCACATAAAAAACTGTCAAAATTAACAAAGTCCCGGATTGGTACTACAACTATTATGCTCTTTTCAGCCATGGCAGCAACATCCTCTTACATGGTATCAGCAAAAATTCCCATGTTGGGTTACATGGGAAGCAGAAGAGAAGTTGGGAAGAGAAGGGCTTTCTCCATTTCAGCTCAGCAGCAGCAAGCTCAAGCCGAAGAATCATCAAAACAAGTAAAAGTAGAGGAAGAACAAGAGTCTCAACAACCGAAAGCGAATTCGCCGCGGGGAGTTAAACCAAGGCCTGTGGAGCCACAAGTGAACGTGAAGAGCAAGAACATGAGCAGAGAATATGGAGGGCAGTGGCTGAGCAGTACCACTCGACATGTCAGGATTTACGCTGCCTACATCGACCCCGTCACCTGCGAGTTTGATCAAACTCAGATGGACAAGCTCACGCTCATTCTCGACCCCACCAATGAGTTTGTGTGGAATTCAGAGAGTTGCAACAAGGTCTACTCTTACTTCCAAGAGCTTGTTGATCACTACGAGGTAAACCAAATAACTCGATATCCGCAATATTAATCGATTTGTACTTACCAGATGAATCATATGTGTCTCTCAAACTGTGAATTTTTGGTGGTGCTCAAACCAGGGCGCGCCATTGACAGAATACACACTTCGGTTAATTGGTTCAGACATAGAACATTACATAAGGAAGCTGCTATTTGATGGGGAAATAAAGTACAACATGAACGCTAGAGTCCTCAATTTCAGCATGGGAAAGCCTCGCATTCTCTTTAACAACAATGAAATCCAACCTCAAGATGAGCAATCATGAGATGTTATGAAATAAGTTAGCACGTTGCCTTATCAGTATTTCAGAAAAATCAATAACGACCCAAGCTTACAACTTTTGGAGAGGACAAAAAGGAAGAGATGCAACATTTTGCTACTATTTTATTTGGATCATTCAAGCGTATGTTAAGAACAATTAAATTTTGTACAGAAGTTGTCACACACTTTAAACCAATTTGAAGTACTTTCACAATTCAGCAATGACAAGAAATTTATGTTCTTGAGCTCTATACATGAAAATCTGTCATTTCTTTTCTCATACATCCTGTTGTAGGAATGCTAAAGATGTGGTAAGAAGTAACATCTTCATCCAAGTTATTTTTATTCTCTTTTCCTGTAAGATTTTTTTTTTTTTTAAATTTGTATTAAGTACCTCTTGAAGAATGCAAAAGATGGTGATGATGCTACAGAGGGGCCAAAGTTTGTGTCTATTTATGCGGTAGACTCTAAAGTTTAGATCAAAGGTGGTTGAGTTTCGTTAAAAAAAAAAAAAAAAAAAAAAAACCTCAACATGGGTTTCTTATTGTTGAAATCTTCATGTTGTGAAGTCAATATTATAATTACTGTTGCGTGTAGCCTGGTGACATTCTAAACAAAAAAGAAAGTAAAAACTTGCAAAACTACATGAACTGTTCACATCCAATTTCTCTCCTCACCTAACAAAATAAGATTTTAGGAAATCACAGCTTACTTCTACTGCATAAGATGCAACTGTATTAGAAGACCCTTTACTTTACAAATCAGTCTTGCATTTTGATCTGGAGACGCGTCGAGTTCTTCCGGTTATTTGCGGTAATACCTCCAAGCACGATGGATCCCGCCATGGCATGAATCCTTTATCTTGGGTGAGATGCTGACAAAATCACACCAAGTACACCATCAGAATATGAGACTACATAGCATTACACTTGTCATCAATCACAAACAACAAACATGCGTACGTATACTTGCTCTAGCGAAAGATACAGCTGATAACTGCGTATATAGTCTGTTGAGATCATTGTGACAAAAAAAAAGGTCACATATATGAGCATGCATTATGGATACAATATAGATGCTAACGACACTGTAATCAACCCACTTTTGAAACTGATGGTTAGACTGAGCATTTTAATGGACCATTGACTGATCTGGTTTCTAAGATATAAAGTAAAGAGTATCATCAGCCCAGACAAAACGACATCTAATTGCAACCCATCCTTTTTCGAACTTTCTTTTAATGGATAAAGAACAGCATCATTAACTTGACTGACGCAAGACCAAAAATTGAAAACGTACCTTCAACCAGTAAAAAAACCCACGCAACAGATTCAAAGATTTGAGGTTATCATTTTTGACTTGGTCAAGCTCCTTTGCAAAATCTACATAAATTAATAAATAAATTTAGGAGAAGCATAACAGAAGAAAAGCAAATAAGTTGACAACTAAAAGAGAACAAACCAGAATACAAGTCCAGATATGATTTGCCACGCTTATGTTCCATTGGATATGACTTTGTGGATTTTCGCATAACTCTATCCCGAAGTACTGGATTTCGGCGAGAAACATTTTCCTTCAGAGTTTCAAGCTCTCTGGAGTCATAAGGCCTCTTAAGATCCTCCATAAGTCCCTTCTTAAACTGTGAACAGGCCATAGAAGGATCTTCAGCCAAACTGTAGTCATCCACATCAATCTGTTCCTTTTCAGAATATCAACAAATACAAAGCAATCACAAAGAATCCAAAATAAATAAATAAATAAAAAAGAAGCTTAAGGTACAAAAACCAAAGAATAATCATGTTTATTCACAGGAAAGCAAACAAATAAAACAAGATCAATGTTGTGTTAGGAGAATATATATACTTGCTGTTTTGAAGATACAAATGGGGTAGTTCCACCCCTATAGGGGTCCTTGTCCATTTCAATGATTTCGACATCAGATTCACACTCCTCCACCTTGTTAGATCTCTCTGGACTATCATCGATCTTATAAGTTGAAGCTTCACCATCCTTATCAAGCTGATGCAGAAATCTTAAATACTCTTGATCTGCATCATCAAAAAAGTCTTCCCAGTCACATTCACGCTCAACCAAATGACTAACCTTCGAACGAGGTCTTCTATTAGACTGCCGGTTGGTTCCACCACGAGCAGGATCTCGACACTCAACTGAATCAAGATATGTGGAGAAATCTTCTAGTACATCATCATTTTGGCGCTGAGCTGAGAAATTACCCTCTGAACAAGTTCTTAGATAACCAGAATTCAAAATTTTAATATACTCTTCATCGAATTCACCTTCATGGTCACTTAGGTGCTGCTCCGAAAAATTACCCTTGGAACCAATTCCCCTGTAACCAGAGCTCTGACATCTGATATAGTCGTCTTCAAATTCACCTTCATGGTCGCTTAGGTGCTGCTCCGAACAATTACCCTCGGAACCAATTCCCCCATAACCAGAGCTCGGACATCTGATATACTCTTCAGCAACATCATCATCATCTTCATCATTATCATGGTCAAATTCATTCTCAACCAATTGTGTATTCTCTGAACCAGATCTGAGACTTGTTCCGCTGGATTTAGGACCCCTATGTTCTTTGCCTGCTCTCCTCCGCGGCAACCTGCTCTTTCTTCTTTCACTCAGTACATCATCATCTGCATCACCTTCACGGTCAAATTCATACTCAATCAAACAATTACCCTCCAAACCAGAACGTACACTAGTTTCTCTCCCCACATTCCTTCCAGCAGAGCAAACCTTCCTTCTTTTACTCACTCCACCATCTGAAGTTCCCGAAATTTCTCCCTTTCTACTATTCCTCGCATGATACCTCAACGTTCTTGGGCTCCAAGCGTCCCTTATACTCGAAAAACTAGTCGAACTATCAGGAATTTCCGTGTTCTCTCTACGGGAAAGACTCCTTAAAATCCTTATGCCTTTAATCTTCCGATTCACCGGATAACTCTCGATGGCTTCAGGAGGAGCCTCAATGGCTTCGGGAGCCTCCGCCCCGCACTCATCATCACCTTCACGGTCAAATTCATACTCAATCAAACAATTACCCTCCAAACCAGATCGTACACCAGTTTCTCTCCCCACATTCCTTCCAGCAGAGCAAACCTTCCTTCTTTTACTCACTCCACCATCCGAAGTTCCCGAAATTTCTCCCTTTCTACTATTCCTCGCACGATACCTCAACGTTCTTGGGCTCCAAGCGTCCCTTATACTCGAAAAACTAGTCGAACTATCAGGAATTTCCACGTTCTCTCCACAGGAAAGCCACCTTAAAATCCTTATGCCTTTAATCTTCCGATTCACCGGATAACTCTTGATAGCTTCAGGAGGAGCCTCAATGGCTTCGGGAGCCTCCGCCCCGCACTCATCATCACCTTCACGGTCAAATTCATACTCAATCAAACAATTACCCTCCAAACCAGAACGTACAGTAGTTTCTCTCCCCACATTCCTTCCAGCAGAGCGAACCTTCCTTCTTTTACTCACTCCACCATCCGAAGTTCCCGAAATTTCTCCCTTTCTACTATTCCTCGCACGATACCTCAACGTTCTTGGGCTCCAAGCGTCCCTTATACTCGAAAAACTAGTCGAACTATCAGGAATTTCCACGTTCTCTCCACAGGAAAGCCACCTTAAAATCCTTATGCCTTTAATCTTCCGATTCACCGGATAACTCTCGATGGCTTCAGGAGGAGCCTCAATGGCTTCGGGAGCCGCCGCCCCGCACTCATCATCACCCACCAAGTCTACAATTTCGTACTTCAAGAGGTCAGGCACATCATTCTTTTGAGAAACCACAAGTGCATAGGACTGTCCATCTTTCTTCACATTGTTCAAGAACATATTATAATGAGGATCCTGATTCTGATCATCATAACAATCATAATCACCGTGTTCATAAGTGCTACTACTAACAGAGTTTCGGTATTCTACAAGCTCCGGCATTTCTTTAGCTTGGTTATTTTCCACCACTGTTAAAGCATTCCTATTGGATTTTTTCCCAAAATAACTATTAGCTACGCTTCTTCTCTTCAACCGCCTCTCTAACCTCGCAATATCAGTCATAATCAGAACTCTCCTGACCCAGTATTCAGTGAATGAAAAATCTCCTTCCTAAACAAAAAAAAAAGGACCCCCCCAAAAAAGCTAATAAATTCGGACCTTTTTACTCTTTTGACGGGAAAAGAAAAGAAGAGAGTAAATGTAAATTAACAAATTGGTGGATAAAAGAAAACTTTATTGCGTTTTCTCGGGAACCAAACGGAAAGTAATTACCAGAACGTGAAAGAAAACTCGTTTAGAGATAAATTTGTGAAAGGCATTGGGTTTGGAATGGAATGCTGAAGGGAAACGAGAGCTGGGGTCGTCCAAACGAGAGAATCTTCTTAAGTGACTCTTGCTCTTCCCATTCCCGAGAAACTTTAAAAAAAAAAAAAATCTTAAATGCGCTTTTAATTACTTTTAGCTGCCCTTTTTTTATTTTTTTTATTTTATTTGTTCTTTCCTTATTCTTTTAGGTTTTTTCACTTTTTGACGTCAGGTCTCCAAAATTTTGAAATTTTGCCCTTCCAAAATAATTTTTTTGAAACTTTTTGACACTTGAGTCCCCAATTTAAATATTTGGATAACTAGATCCCCAAATTTACAGATTTTTTTTGTGTGCCTTTAGTCCTTCTATTTGTTAAGTTTTTAACCCATGGACAAAGTTTGGAGATTTATGGGTAAAAAATTTTTTTTTATTATTTTCTGCAGAACTAAAAGGAATTAACTATAGTCTATAGTTTGTTGCCTCGAATTAAAAAAAAAAGAAAAAAGCGTAAGCTTATTGTTGTTCAGGAAATTAAAAGGGGCTTAATTGGAATAATATCTTTTGAAAAGGGATGAATTGATGAGATGTTTACTTATGCGTAATCAGAATGGGTATGAATCAGAGTGGGTATAATTTGAAATAGGTAGGATTAAGAGTGAGAAATCAGAGTCAAAATAAGTTATTTATTTGATGATAGGATTTAGAATCGGAGTCATTCTAAATCATATTAATGCGTTCACTTACATCCAATATCAGAATAAAATAGTATAAAAATACTAATATACCCTTTAAGTCAATTTTATATTTTTAATTTAAAAAATAAATTGTGTACTTATTATATTAAAATCAATCATAATTAAAATATTTAGTGTAATAATATAGTAACAAAATAATAAATATAAATTGTACAAT